TACAGAGATAAATAACAAGCAACCTGGCTCCTCATGCAGCTAAAGGTTGGGGGAAAGCAGCACTGTGAATAAAAAGTAGACAGCACGTATTAGCTTGTAGCCCCAGCATCTAGCACAGGGCCTCAAACAAACCAGCCTCAATAAGTTAAGTCAAAAAAGAATGAATGTCAGTTATTAATAACTATAAATGACTTTAGAAGGGATGGTGGAAAGAGTCAGTAAGATATTTTCTAAGCCACTGGCAGAAGAACTGGAGTCCCTGGCCAGGTCCGCAATTTTCTTTCCTATAGAGAAGCTTCCTGGATCCCTTGGCCCATCTCTAGGGCAGAGATAAACAAAACAGTAAACAAATAAGCAGAAAATGTATAGCATATCAACAAATTACCTAGAATCCAACCATTTTACCACTTCCTTCTCTACTGCTTTGGTCCAAACCACTACCCCCTCACCTACATTATTGTAAAGCCTCCATTCCATCTGCCTTGGCACCCAACCCCACCTCCACTACTCTCATCCCATGCCAGCCTATTCTCAAAGCAGCAGCCAGAGTGGTCTTTTTTTTAATTATTGAGTTTAGAGAGAGAGAAACATTGATTCATTGTTCCACTTATTTATGCATTCATTGGTTAATTCTTGTATGCGTCCTCTGTGAGGACTGAACCCACATCTTCAGTGTATTGGACAATGGTCTAACCAACTGAGCTACCCAGCCAGGGCCAGAGTGATCCCTTTAATGGACAGCTCAGATCATGTCACTCTTCTGCTCGAATTCCTCCAATGCTTCCCAACTCATTTAGAGAAAAAGCCAATTCTTACAATGGCCTTTATGGCCCTAAGTTAACTGGTCCAAATACACCCTGTTGCATTCTAAGCACCAGCTGTACTATACCCGGAACTTGTCAATTAGGTTCCCACCTCAGGGCCTTTGCACCGCTTGTTCCTTCTGCCTGGAATACTCTTCACAGATATCTGCATGGCTTCTTCCCTCACCTCCTTCTCAGTGAGGTCTCCCATGGCCATACTATTTTAAACTGCAGCCTCCTCCACGAGCCCTCCCTATCCTTTCCCTGCTTCATTTTTTTCATTTTGCTTATCAATACCTGACACATAACATAGTTTGTTTACTTACTGTCTCCACTGACTAAAATATAAGCTCCATGAAGGCATGGATTTTTATTCATTCACTAATGTATCACCAAAAAGATAGAAGCTGGAAAAAAAGAAAAATTAGATGAAGGATAAATACTGTTAGGAAAACAAGGCGGTAAAGGGGAGGAGAGCTGCAACTTGACACAGAGTAGTCAGGAAGGTCTCGTGGAGGAGACAGTCAAGCAAAGACCTGAAGGCATTGAGGGAGCAAGTTGCACAGCCAAGATCAGCTACACGATTTGTAGGGCCCAGTGAAAAGAGGAAATGCAGGGCCCTTGTTGACAAATTATTAAAAACTTCCAGGGGGCAATAGTAGAGCATTAAACCAAGTGCAGGGCTCTTACAAACAGGGGGCCCTATGTGACTGCACGGTCACACACCCATGAACCGGGCCCTGCGTGCAGCTCTCAGGAAGTGTGTTCCAGACAGATGGAGCAGAACAGCAAGTGCGAAGGCCCTCTGGAAAGGGACAGTGCTTTGGGAACTAGCAAAGAGGGCATGTATAAAAACAAAGATTCCTGAGTCCCTCTTCTGAATGTTCTGACCCAATAGGTTCGAGGTCAGCTAGACTCTTTTCTTTTTAGTCCATCCCAGGGTATTCTCCTATCCAGGCAAGTTTGAGGAACACGACTATTTCCACATCTTGGGATGCACACTGCTGCTAGTCATTGAGTTCCACTTCAGATAACCAGTTTCCAAGCTCTTCTACTGGTAACCCAGGACTGGCAACCAGGTCTCCATCTTCACTTCTTGTCAGAGTCTTTGTTCTGGGAACCTCCCTAAACCTAAAACACTACTGGCTTTCATCAGTGCCCCCCAACGAGGGCCTGAGGTCCTGTCTGGACTACCAGCCGGTGGCCGGTAGTCATCCACGGACAGGCTTCCTTGAAAGTTCCTGCTCTGCTAAGTAAGACTGTAGAGATATACTCTGCTCTTGCCAGGGATGTTCGAGTCAAATGTTTGCCTGGATTCACTCTTAATTTCCAGGTGTACCACCTTAGGTCTCTAAATCTCCAACATCTCATTACGTACTCCTTTAAACAACAGTTTAAATATATTGATGATCTTGGCAGTCAATGTCAGAGACTTACTCAAATTCTTTCTGCTCAGTCAGGGAAACGGGAAAGCCTTTCTGCCTTTACAGCTTCTACCTAAAATCTCAATTTACAATGAGTAAGTCCAGTTAATAGGTGCAGATATTAATTAAAGCAAGAACATCACTTCACTGTTACATATTATCACTTTCATTAGTTCCACATAATCAGTGGAGAAGTTTCTAAAAATTTCATCAGTTAAAAGTTCAACAATTTTATAGGCCCTGAACCATAAAGTTGAAATTTATCATTCGGGGCCCAAAGTAAATAATATATATGTTATAAACCAGTGGTTCTCAACCAAGAGTGAGTTTCTTCCCAGGGAACATTTGGCAATGTCTGGTTGGGGGTGGGGGTACTACTGGCATCTATAGGGAGAGGTCAGAGATGCTGCTAAACATCCTTCAATGCAAAGGACAACCCTCCAGCAAAGAATCATCCAGTCCATAATATCAATAGTGCTGCAGTTGAAAAACCCTGTAACAGACTGTGTCTATAGATTCTAGTTCATTATATCTCAGCTTAGCATGTTAAAACCAAGTGTCTTTACAAAACTAATGAAAAATGTGATTTACACTTTAACAGAAAGGGGTAATGACGTTTCGAGTAACAGGAGCCATACAAGTGAAAAGCAAGGGTTAAAAAGCATTTGATCTAAGGTGGAGTCCTGCGGTGAGCAGACCTCTAGAAGCTCTAAGCAAGTCCAGTGAAACCACACAGGGCAGGGGGTTGCAGAGAGATTGATGTGGGTAGTGACCAGGGAAGTATCACTTCTCTGGATGTCACGGATTCCTAGGTGCAGTAACCCTGGCCTAGATGGTAAGCCCCATAGAGACTAGACAGAAAAGACTTTCCTTCTTCAGTAAGAGAGCTGATGTTTAGAGAACTCTTGATAACACCAGGATAAAAATATGGGTGGAAATCAGAAGTAATACCTAGAGAAAAGCAAATGTTTTATCCCTGTGCAGATTCAAGCTGGCCTCAATGAATAAGCATATTTGGAAAATATCTTTACCTCTCATCTATCTTCTCACCTGTAAAGAAGGAAATTAATTACACCTATCTCAAGGCTTAGGAGGAAAATCAAATTAAATAAGAACAAGATGGAACATGACAAATGTAATGCCTGGCACCTAGCAGGTATTCAACAGAAGGTAGCTGCTGTCATTTGCCAATACTTCTTTCCTCTGGCTTTGACCCAAACCAGGCCGCATTAGTGCACATAAGAACTGTAGTCCTAAACTCACATTTAGAAAACCCCCAAGAGGACAGAAAGGGACAATCCAGGGCAGGATAATGTCAGCACATGCCTGTGCAGCAAGATCTTTGCTCTCAAAATTTTTACATGATGGAAGGACCTGCTAGGTAAGCAAACAGCAGCTTGTATGTGCAAAATAGATTCCTCTGTCTCCGTCGTTTGGTCAAGGGCCAGAGTTTCACTTTGAGAGAGAGAGAGATATAGAAAAGATCAACTTTCTTCCCATCCCCTTCTAAGGTGCTTCAGGAAAGAACATTGAAAATTGATACATAACTCAAATGTAGAAAGGCCACCACAATGCTCAGAGTTAATTATAAGTAATTTTAATGAAACAGTATGTTCCCTCAGGTTTCCATGTTCTTCCCAGAGCTGTAATGCAATATGACCAAGACAGGCACACTTGTAAATTTATAATAAACACAACTCTCCAGCTCACCCAGACCACAGTTCTTGGCTGCTGCTTAGCGACAGATGTCACATTCACAGTTGCCAGTGAGCCCATGGGTGTAATTTCACTTCTAAATAAAGAAGCATAATCGATAGAACCAGAGCATCTTGCGGGAACAACTACCATTCCTGACTCATCACAGTGCTTGTTTACACAGAAAACAAAATTCTCTGCCCAAGTGCACACACAGGTCAGTTCGGCTTTGAGTAAATATAGACGTGGTTGCATGAACGGGACGGAAAATCGGGTGACCGATGCTCCTGGTAATTCCAAAGCCCTGGTCCTCTTTGGCTTTCCTCACGCGACAGATCGGTCTGAGTCTGGGCTGGGCGCCGGGAACCCGATGCACCTACCCGGGGAGGGAGCCTTGGCGGCCTGCCCCTCCTGCTAACAGGACTAGCTCTGGCAACCACTGCTGTAGCCAGCATCCCACGGAGCCAGCACTTGGGGCCGAGCCTCCGGGAGACGTGTGGCCGCCTCCTCGACCCCCACTCCTCGCACGCCCCGCCCCGAGACGCTCTCCACCTTCCTCCCCCCGACCCTCCCTCGCTCCCTCCACCCCCCACCACCACCGCGGCCGCCGCAGCCGCGCGGCCCTCCCTGCTCACCGTGACTCCGTACTTGAGCGCGATGCCCTGCAGCGTGTCGCTCGCGCAGACCCGGTGCTCCACATGCCGCTCAAAGACACCGGCGTTCACGCTGGCGGTGCTGCCGTAGGAGCGGGTTTTGGTGCGGGCCAGGCTCAGCGACAGCTCGGCCTCCTCCGGCTCGGAGCTCGAGCGCGAGCGTGGTGGCGGCGAGGGGGCCGAGGGCCGGGGCGCGCGGGGGCCGCCTTCCCGCAGGGTCAGCACCGGCGAGGAATCCGCCATGGGTCCTGCAGAGGCCGCCAGGTCGGGAAGCGGGCCAAGAGGGCGGTGCCTCCGCCTCTGCCGCCCGCTTCCTCCTCACTGAGGCTGCGGACGGCTGTGCTGTGGGGGCGGCGGGCTGGAGGCGGCCGCGGGGAGCTGAAGGCCTGACATGGCGGGTACCCCCGCCCCCGCGCGTCCCGCCTTCCCCGGCGCATCTACGAAGCCAAGGGCGAAACCAGCCTCCGCGGCGCCAGGCCGACTGCGCCCGGGCAGAGCTCCCCCCTGCCCACCGGGACGGCGAGGCCGTGTGCTGCGAAGAAACGGAGCTAAGACTGGCCTATCTGTAGGTATCCTCGGCCCCTGGTGAACGCCGCGTCAGGCTGAAAGGGCCTGGTTGGAGACCTGCCCTGACTGCAACAATACACCAAAGCTTTGCTTTGTCCCCCTTTGTGATTCCCCAGCAGGCACCAGCCTTCTCAGACCTCGACTCTCTTTGTGCTAAGGGTACTTCGCTCGCCCCACTCGATTACCTGGGTAAGTCTAGGTCACAGAAAACATTAACACTACTAAACATGTGTAGCCTCTCCAGGCCTACTGAACAGCCCGGAAGGTCGGGTCCTTTCAACATTACACCAGGAGGACAGTGCTTCCAAGGCCTGGTGAGTGACCTCAAACTAACCTCCAACTGTTTGGGTTTCACCCTTCACAGCACACTAGTACCAATGTTAGTCCTGGGCTGCCTTGAAAGTGTGACCAGCTACGGTCTAGTCTACTGGCTTACCGCTCAGAATTTACTATCTGCATCTATCTTTTTTTTTTTTGGATTTGGTTTCCTCTTTAATACTCTGAAATCATAACTCGCCAAAGCATTATCCTTAAATCTACCAAGGACCTCTTGTCTGTATTTTTCATCTTGAACACTCTCTCCTCAACATTCTAGCGTGTGATAGTATTCTACACAGGGTGGGCGTGCCCTTACTAGAATCTAGTGCCCGGATTTCTGTTGTACTCTGGACAGCTCTCCAAAATGAGGTACCTGATAGGCAGATTAGGAGACCAGAAGTTTGATTCATTGGCTGAAGTTTCTGTATGTTGTTGTGCTGGACAGAGGCAAAGGACCCAGGGCTCAGAAGACAAAGGATAGGAAAGGAGCAAGTGGCTCCCACATCATTCTCTCACTCAAAAGTTCTTTGGTGGCTCCCAGTGGACAATAATATTAACATAACTCTCGCTGGCATTCAAGCTATTCTTTACATTTTTGTTATCCATTCGATGGCCATTGCCAATCTTCAGCTCATCCTGTATACTCCATATGCTTCTGCCAAACAGCCACGTGAATTTGCCCCTTTCTACCTTCATGCCTCGCACATGCTATACTCTCTATCTGTAATGCTACTCTTCCAATATCTGTCTGCATATTTTTATTTAAGGCTTATCCCAGATGATACAACCTCCATGAAATAGTTCCTGATTCTTACCTATCCCCTTCCTTCAAATACCCAGTTGTTGATTGTTTTTCCATTGAACCCCAAGGTGGTTTGTAACTCTTGCTTAGCATTTAATTAGTGCCATGTACTTGTCTGATTGCCTCTACACATGCTTCTGGGAGATGAAACTAGATCTACTCATCTTTTTAGCTCATCAGTGCCTCACTCAGAAGCTTGAATAAAGCATCAAAAGTGGTTAAATGGAGATGTAGTAAAAAGACCATAAAAACTAAATTAACTTAATTAGCAAGAATCTTCCATGCATGAACTATTGGGTGGTACCCAGTGTGCCCATCCTAAGGCCTAAGAAAACCCAAGTTTTAATATATAGATGAGATAAGGTAATACTTCAAGGGAATAGAAGAAATTGCCCTCAAAGAGTTTACCATCTAGTAGTGAGATAGCATATAATATATCTTCCAGCAAGGAAAAGTTTACTGAAGAACCTGGGAGTTTTTATTTAAAGAGAATGAACTTGTTTAATGATATGTTATTAGGTGTTCTTTGGAAAGGGTTCCATTGTTTTAATTGGATAATGGCCAACAATGTGGCAAAGGTGTAATGGCCACCGTAGTGAGAAGGTATTTTCAGACTGAAGAATGATGCATACAACTCCACAAAATATAACAGAATTTATTATAGGGTAATTTACTTACAGAATTGTAGGGTCAGAGCAGCAGGCGACCCAGCAATTCTCCACAAATTATTCTTCGCTACCAGACCCCTATTACAGTACATTTTTTATAATATACTTCAAGTACAGATGACTGACAAGAAAAAAAGGACAAAGAATGCAGTATACACCAGGGGCCATATCTCCTGGTAGTCTTATGATAGATGATGGTTTATAATTGGTTCTACCACCAGCTTGATAATGATCTCAGTTGCTATTCCATTCTGGCCATTACTAACAAAAATACTTAACGACTACAGTGTATGGAACACAGGTGATCATTAACTAGAGACTGCTATGCTTAGTAATGGTGGTTAAAGGTAACAGCATGGTCCATGACACAAAGATAGTGTTGGCTTTTGTTCACAACCACATCTACACAGGGAAATATTGCCAGCTTTATTTCCCTTTTGGAGATTCACAATGCATATGAGAGTACAGAAGGTTCTAGAAGTTCTGCAGTAAAGTAAGCTACTGGATGTTGCTTGACGGCATAATCCCCAAACTCCTTTGATCGCGGAATCCCTTTTTTTTTCTCAAGAGTTTTTGCAGGCAGCAGGGTAGAGGGTGTGACAGGCCTAAGTAAGGGACCAGGAAGATGACCTTGAAAAGTCAGAGATTACCAAAAGACAGAAAAGTAGGTACCTAAATAACAGAAGGGGCAGAAAAAGAGCCAAGTAGGAAAAACTCTAGGTGGTGATCACTCAAGTCCTTTACAAAATGATCAATGCCTCTGTAAAAGTGCAGGAAAAAGTTCCCACCACAAGTGCATAGAGATTCAAAAGCCATCCCACTTCTCTCTTATTAGGGCTCATTTCTAAGCTGTCCCTGGTTATTTTTAATTTCTTCAACCACATTAAATCCCAGGTCATAAAATGCTCTGAAATAAATCTCACATAATTCTCAGAATTTCCTCCATGATTCATTTTTGTGATTGTCACTGTAGTTTTTTTTAAATCTAAGAAATTAATCAGCTTGAATTAATACTTAGTTGATATTTTTATAGTTAGGGTTCTTTGTGAATTGTTTTTCCTTAAATATCTAGGCTGTTTCCAACTATCTAGTCTTCCCATGAATTTTATATTGATTTCCCCCTAATCCAAAATATAAAAATTAATATCTAAAATATGCATCTTAGATTGAATTTTTTTGTAGTTTATTTTCACTTCTTCAACTTTGGTTTATGTACATCTACCTACAACATAGATAAAACCTCACAACTAATGGCGAATTATTAGAAGCATTTTCTTTGAGGCCAAGAATAAGAGAAGGAAGCCTTCTATTACTACTTCTATTTAATTTTGTTCTGGAGGTGCTAGCCAATGCAATAGGAAAAGGGGGAGGAAGGGAAATGAAGATTGAAAAGAAAGAAATCATTGTTTACTAGTCATGGATAACACTAAAATATTTATGGCAGCCCAGATAGGTATGCACTAGGTTAGGTATGCACCATTCAACCTTCAAAGTCATCAGGCACGAGATCAACATGCAAATATTGTTGCATCAATCAACCAGACAATATAATTGTGGAAAAGATGACCTTCTAGATACCAAAAAAAACACATTATGAATAAACTTAACAAAAGAGAAGCATGCTTTCTATGGAAAAATCATAAAATTATATTAAAGGACATAAATGAAGGTATACATAAAAGCAGAGACATGTTTATGGCTAGTAAATGCAAAATGATGAAAATATCATTTCCTCCTCAAACTAATATATAAACTCACTGAAATTTTTACCAGAACTCCAATGGAATTCTTGTGGAAGGTAAAGGGCTAAGAAGAGCCAAGACATTAGACTGATAAAGGGGGACTTAACCTTCACAGCCATGAAGACAGTGATAAGGTGATGAGAAGTAAACCATTGCAGTGGTGCTGCTGGGAAAGAGGTAACAGAGGTAACGAAGAAAGGCCAGAAACAGACCCATACAGGTCAGAGAAATCAACCTATGACAATAAATGCTGCTGGTACAATTAGTTATCTATGTGAAAAAACGGTGAAGTTAAATCTCTACCTTATACCATATACCAAAATCAACTACAGATTAATTACAGATAATTGAGGAAAGCAAACCTAACACTTTTGGAACAGAAACAGAATCACAAATGTATGAGGATTTCGTATGTGACAAAGGTGGCCCTACAGACCACCAGGGAATGGTCTCTGAAATACAGGATGTCAGGACAATTGGCTAGCCATTTGGTAGGATCTCTCTCTGTTCCTTACCATGCCCAAATGCCCAAATTTAATTCCAGATAGATCACAGAATTAATGTGAAAAATTAAAATTTAAAACTTTCAGAAGAATATATAGAAAACTTTTTATAATCTCAAGATAAGAAAGGACTTCTTTAGTAAGACCCCCCCAAAAAAAAGCTTTACTCATAAGAGAAAAGATTGATAAACATAACATTAAAGTTAAGAATTGCTGTTGCCCTGGCTATGTGGCGCAGTTGGTTGGAGCATCGACCTGTACATTGAAGGGCTGAGAGTTTGATTCCCAGTCGGAGCACAGACCTGGGTCGTGGGTTCCATTCCAGATTAGGGCGCATATGTGAGGTGACTGATCATTGTTTCTCTCTTACATCTCTCTTTCTCTCTCTCCCCCTCCCTCTCCAGTGAGTATATCCTTGGGTTTGGATTACAAAAAAATAAATTAAATTTAAATTTAAATTAAGTTAGAGACTAAGAAAAAATATAGGTGCTGCAGGAACCAAACATATTTGAATACAATGTTTGATTTACCCCTCATTACCCTAATTCCAGTTAATTTTTATATGAAAATCAGGAACCAGTAGATGCTAAAAAACTAGGTATTCTTCAACATTTAAATTCTGGCTATCTGAATTGAGAAACTACATAGATTCTGTTAGCAGAGAATGTTTTATTTGTAACATATACAACTGTAATAAAAACTAATATGTAGAGTACTCAAAGGACTAATTCTTACCTAAAAGACAAATAGTCTAATGACATTACTAGAATCTTATGAAAGAAAACATCCTGGTATGAATAAACACATGAAAAGAATGCTTAATCTTATCAATTATCAGAAAACTTCACATTAAGACAGCAAAGGGTAACCATTTTACACTCAGAAGACTGGCAAAAGTCAAGTTTGGCAGGACCATTTATCAGTGAAGGTGTGAATTTGATGCACTGTTGAGAGAAGTACAATTTGGTACAGCCACTTTGAAAAACATGACCATTATCTCACAAAACTGTACCTGTGCATTTCCTACAAGTCAGAAATTCTAATACCAGAAACTGTATATGCCCTGTTGAAAATCTCATACCTATACATCAGGAAATGTGTGTGAGAATGCTCATTTCAGCATCCTTCAGCATAACAAAAAAAAAAAAAACTGGGA